AACTAGTCGCAGTTCCTCAAGGGCAACTTAGGTGCGCCACACGGTAGGTGACTTTATTTCAACGCACCCAATCATGCCACAAGTGAACGCGCTGTCGCATCTCAGAGAGTGAGTTTCAACATGGACGAACACAGCCAGTCCACCTCAGGCCTGGGTTCTGCCCGCGGCGGAACATTCAGCCCTGGACAACGCCTGCGCCACAACTGCCACCCGAGACAGCAATTCCGGGTCTTGTACACAATAAACTCTCCTCCGAGTTGCTTCCACTTTTACGCTCTTCTTTTTGTGTTCTTCCTTTGGGGATTCTAAAGGACGTAATTAGACGGTGACAGCACACAGTTTGTCACCGTTACAACAGTCTGCTGCGTTTGAGTGATTCCGCTTGTCAAAGTAGTCTTGCATTCACTGGATCCCCTGCCTAATTCTAGTGGACAGGGAGAGATAAAAGGTTTTAACCATCGGGAAAATGCCTAATTTACATCATCGTAGTATTTAATTCTGTTCCTTGTGAGTTATCATGATGAACGATGGAACTAGACAGTAGATGTGCTCCAGACTTCCAACATATATCAAGTTCTGACCGCTAACAGTCGTTCCCAACTACTCCGTATTCGGTCTGATGCTTAGCAGGTAACGTTTTATCGTTCATGATACTACATCAAGCTATTATACTACATTGTTAAGATGGCACTCTGTTGATTTTACGGCGTCATCTAAGTAAACGGGCGCCACCAACTGATCCCGAATCTATTGCCTTTTAGCAGCCACGGAATTTAGTTTCCAGACTGAATAACTTCACCGACAACGACAAAGGAGGCTTAAATGGCCATTTCTAATTTATTAGCCCTCTTCAGTTAGTCATATAAAACACCGGGTTGTGCAATCCTTGAAGTTCGAACTTACGATTTGTTGATTAGAAGTCCAACGCCCTAACCAGTGAGCCACGCACTCGTTTCCCTGTCGATTACGATCGGATATATTAGTTATGGTAGAGGAGCACTCACTAATCGCGTTACGGGCTTTACGCACTCTATGGTTACTCACTCCGAACAGGCCGGCATGTACCAAGGCTCAACGCCGTCAACGAGTACACATGCACTGGCCGCCTACGCCCGTCTGTCTAGCCAATCCGTCTGACCAATCAGCTGTCAAGACCGACTCACACAAAGGCCGCTCCAGACGCTGTGGCGGTTTTCGCGGTCACCTCACTTCAAATGCAGCACTGTGGCCGGCAGTTGCTCGCTTGTCTGATAGTCAAATTCCTCTTATTCTCCATTCCTTCTGTATAGCATAAACCGTTCCTTCCAATCTGGCCTCCCAATTTCCTATCTGTCCCTAAGGAACCGGGCCTGAAAATCGTAGCGACAAGGGGTAAGCTTATCAATCTTAATTCATCGATACTGGTGACGATGGTTAATAGGTCATGAATGCCCACTTCAGTCTCTTTTATCTTTGCCGGTAATGTCATACTTGCCACTGAGCGGCTTCTGGCGAGGCTCTCCCG